TTAGGGAAGTTTCAAATAAATATTAATTGATAGCTATTATTAAGAAATCTTTATATCACGTAGTAATATAATTTTTAATTTGAAACTTTTGATTCTGTACTTTGCACCTACATGACTAAAAGCCACATATGTATCGTAGTTACATTATTTTTAATTTTTATATAGTGCTTATATTACGAAGTAATTCTACATACCGTATTTAGTAAACCCTTCCTTCATTAAAAAACTATTTTTTAAGAAAAAATGCATTTTTGAAATCAACTTATGTTAGATTTACAATTTTTCTTAAATTTCGTTTATTCGTCTACTTGTCACTTCTTCTCACTACGCACACCATAAGTACCGAACATAACATGTATGTACTTTGACCTATACTTTTGTCGTGTTCTCAAAGTATTTGTAATTCTTTGTATACTTCTCTATTACAGCTAATTATCGCTACATAAAGATTGCCTTAATGTAGAAGTGCGGGAAAACTGACAGATTTTCCCGCGTACAATTCTCGCGTGTATGAATAATAGATTACAGAATTGTGTAATAAATATTGGTTTCATGCAGTTTCATTATGAATTTAGTGCATTCTATTGTGGAACGTGAGAAAGGATCTGGTAATTCATTTTTATCAATTTATTATGAACCGAATATAAGACCGAATCATGTAGTGAATATAAAACGACAGGTTATATGAAACCCAAACTTAGTGTTGTATTTAACATAATATTAAAAATAATAACAATATATCACATGTATGAAATTCATTTCTAAAAATAAAACATGAATTTTTAAAGAATGAAAAACTTTTTCAGCATCGATACGTGATTATGACATTGCTTTATATCGTTTAAAATGTTACAAAGATGACGTCTACCGAGGTATAACACCAAATACAAATGCACTTGATTTTAATCCAGAACCACCCGTTTTTGCGTGTCGATTTTGTACTACAGAAGGGTATAAACAAATAATTGCTTTAGCAAATGAAGATGGAAAGATTGCTTTACAAGATACAAGCATTAAAGAGACATCAAATCAACCATTGGAAGGAACTCAGGTATTATCATTACATGATATTAAAGTTTCAAAAATTTCGTACTATTTGTAATCTTTTGTCTATAAAATTAAGTTAATGCAAAATATATTGTTAATAGTATATAAAGAAAGTACACTAAATTTTTATCATCCAGGCACATTGCAATGCAATATTTGATATTGCTTGGATGCCAGGAGATTTAAAGCTAGTTACAGCATCTGGAGATCATACTGCTAGATTATGGGATGTATCTGGTTCTGAAATAAGACAAATAGATTATTTTCATGCTCACACAAGAAGTGTTAAGACTGCAGTGTTTCGTTATCAAGATCAAGGTATGTTTTTAGTATTCAACATGTTTCTGACAATTCTGAGAACAAAATATTAATTTAGAAGAAATATATTTTAGCTGTATTTGCAACTGGAGCTAGAGATGGCTCTATAATGGTATGGGACATTAGAGCTAATCATTATGACCAACCTAAACCAGATAATTGTATTGCCAATGCACATAATGTTGGAAATATAAGCAATATACGACAGCGTAGAGCAATTAATCATGCATCCAGGGCACAAAGTATTACTGGTTTGGCATTTCAAGATGATTTCACTTTACTTTCATGTGCTGCTGGTGATGGGTAAGTTTATTTGTACAATTATATATTTACTGCATCAAGAAACAAGATAATACTAATAAATATTATTGATATAGTTTAATAAAGGTGTGGGATTTGCGTAAAAATTATTCTGTACACAAAAGGGATCCCTTGGCTAAGCATACAATGAATTATACTGGACATAGTACAAGAAATGGATTTTCATCATTATTAATGTGTCCTGCTAGAATTACACTATATGCAAGTTGTATGGATAATATTATATATGCATATAATATATCATCTTACAATCCTAAACCAAGTAAATAAGAATAATAAAAAACATTATTGATTTATACATTACATAGTAAAGTGATATTAGTGTTATTATCTTTGCACATTAGTTGCAGAATTTTATGGACATCAAAATCGTACATATTACGTTAAAACCTGTTTAAGTCCTGATGGACGTTATATTGCTAGCGGTTCCAGTGATGAACTTGCATATATTTGGCGTACAAATAAGCCAGGGGCACCAGTTGTGCAACTTTCTGGACATACAGAAGAAGTTACTTGCATTGCTTGGTGTAGTGTTGGAGAAACTAAAGTATTAATAAAAATCATAATGCTTCTTTTTAGTGTTAATAATATTTATAATGAAGTATTCAACATTAAATTTAATATAAATTTAAACGCAAAGAAAATGTTGATTGATTAACGAGTACACAAGACAATGTAAGAAATATTAATGTTTAACATTTTTTTTAATTTTACAGATTGTAACATGTTCTGATGATTCATGTCATCGAATTTGGAGAGTTGGCTATGAATATAAAATGGATAACGAAGAAGTACAAATACGAGGTCGTGCAGAAACTATTCTTAATAAGGATCCACTGGAAAACTTAAAATTAGAAACTACTCCAACTATTACTCGACGCTGGGCTATATCTCAAGAACATACACCGGAATCCATCACACCTAGTATGTAATTATAAAGTCATAGAAATATCATGCCAGATGTACTATTATCAATGTTATTACTTTTTCTGTTTAGATGTTACACCTGGACCTATTTCATTAGATGCTTATAATCAAACTGAAAATAATCAAGGTACTACTAGTAGTTCAGTGAAAAGAAGTTACTCTCGAATGATAATGGGGGGATCATGGTCTGATGGAAAATTTAGATCAGTTTTATCTTCTATACAAGAGAATATCACATTTCCCGCAAAACGAGTTCATTTAGAAAATCGTGGTGCACGAAGATTATTTAGCCCAAGTAATGATAATAATTTATTATTGAATAGAGGTTATGACTCTGATGAACCATGCACAAGTTCATCTAGTACAGAAAGTAAAAAGGACGAAATTCATTTTTCACCGACATTAAATCTTCCAAATTTTGTAATTGATGGCACAGCACCACATTTACTTCAAGTATCCCCGGAAAAATACAAAGAAAATGTCGATTGGTTAACAAGAATAAGAAGAGAGAAATATGAACAAAAAGTCAGGAAAACAGTGTCAGAAAAATTGAGTAGCCCTATTGCTCATACAACGCCTGCAAGGAGAAATACCAGATCACGATCTATAGAACCGCAAAAAGTATCAAAAATACCAAAAACTCCAGCTCTCTCTTTGTTAAATTTCTTTAAAGTTACTGAAAAGGACTGTGAAACAAATATGTGTTGTGACAATACTAATGTAATGCCTTCCGCGAAATCTTAAAACCTGTGTTAAATTTCGTATCAAACTTTTATTAGAGATATATTTTATAAAAATATAAACTTCAGCGCGCTTTCTATTGTTTACGAGTTGGTACCTTATAAAAATTTATAGGAATTGAAGTGATACATGTCATAATGTAAGATAAATGATATGATATAACACACAAGTATTATAAAGTATGTAAAAATAGCTTATATACTCAAAAGTGTCATGTAATAATTATAGTAGTATAAGATATCTTTTATACGATATTTACAATAAATAATTCCTAAATTTTATTTATATAACATATCTTTTGTTAACTGTTCATATGAGAACAAAATACTTTTACTGCTTGTGAAAGCAAATTAATTTCAACTGGTTTTAGTTCGTATTCCTCATTGTCAATGTATAATGAACATTTTTCATCAACCTATAAATGAATCAACAAATATAAACTAACATTAATACTTAAAATTTTTGAGAATTTTAATAATCAAGAATTTACCTTTTGGGGAGTTAACTTAATGTTTTTTGCTTCTACCACTTGTTCACATAATGATTTATTACTATTTTCTTGTTTCCAGCCTTCAGTCACAAAAGAAAGATAATCAATGCCTTTTGGACCTGTATATTAGAGATAATTTTGCATGATTGTGATTACTTTTTGTACAATTTGTATATCATTACATATGTTGTTTTCTTAATTACCAATTTTTATTTTTAAAGATGATGGTGATGATACACCTTGTGTTTTGTTTATGTTAGAAGTTTCTATATGCAGTTCACTTGCTGACATGCACAGTTCATGAACAATGTCACATTCTTCATTTATTATTTTACTATAGTCAATGCTACCTAAAAATACATATTATGCAGTAACTTTTTGATATTAATATTAATATTAATATAGATATATGTAAACATACTTCTAGTGGCAGTATTTTTTGGTATAAATACATGCCACCACCTTGTATTTGAATTAGAATATCCACTTAGTAAAGAATTCTTTTGAGTACAACGAGAACAACCTTCACAAGGAAGTGTATATTTTAATATTGCATTGCAATACTGATTTAAATTCTCTTTATAACCATTAAATACATAAGCTGCATATCTGTATAGTGTTTAATAATATTAGACAATATAAGTTTAATTTGAATATTATTTAAATTAAAAAGTATTTAAGGAAAGATATACATACTTTCTCAAAGGTCCCCAGTACCAATATTTGTTAGCAATAGTATTTGCATCTTTCCATGCACCCCATTCAATTGATCCCATAGCATAAATTGACTTTACTGGTTCCTCTGAATTGTCCTTCAATTGCAAAATGATAAATGTAAGGTTTAAAATTCATTATAAAATAACAAATTTACTAGGTATTACAGAAACATACTTCAATAGGTTTAACTTCAATCATATCCATCATTTTATATTGCTCATTTATAACTGCCATTGTTGCCTCTATCATTTGCTTTACATTAGACAAATTATCATATTCATGATACAAGGATTTTGCAATTTTATTCGTTTGTCCTAGTGGTAAAATACCTATAGGACACTGCTTAACTGAATTAAGATCAGAATCATATTTCCTTACTAATCCAGTTAAAACATCAGATAAAGTACCATCTCCCCCTGCAACTATTATGGCATCTGTAGGTGTATCTATGTCCATTATAATTTTTCGAGCATGATTTTCTGATTGAGTCTCTATTATAGTAACAGAAATTCCAGCTAAATGCAAAAGTGGTTCACAATAATTTTGGAATAATTTTTTAGCTTTCCTATAAGTAATAATAATAGTTAATTAATAATTGAAGTGTGATCAAAATTTTTATTTATAAATAAAATGTGATCAAACCTTTTCTTGGCAGCTGGATTTAAAATAATGGTCACATGGCGAGGTTTTATATTTGTTGGAAGTGGAACATCACCATATTGTGATACAGTTTCACAATATTGCCTCATTAATTGATTAGTACTGAAGATATTAATACTTTTAATATTCTTTCAAAATTAAAATAAACTTATTAA